TACAGCATGGTGCCCAACAGGCATCCCCTTTTTGGGGAATTGACCTTGTGGAGGATTATCCTTATGATTAGTGCCAGAACATCGTTCAGAATGCAAGAAACTCTGTTTGCCTTCTCTTGGTCATCTTGAATCCCCATTCCTTTGACCCAGCAACAAGTATCCCCAGGGCTACATGAACCTGGGGGAAGCTGAGAGCCAGTCCTTCCATTAAGTCCATTAAGCTCTCTGAACTGGAAGGATGGGAGGGGGTGCTGTAGGTTCAATGGACTGGGGTGAGTGTGAGGGTATAGACTGCTTTGTTACCTGTTGGATTCATGGCCACAGAACCACAGAATCTGGGATTAAATCTGGTCTCTTGAAGGTCATTTGGAGTCCCTCATGGGGTATGTCTGCAAATGGTGCTGGACCCAACTCCTGTGGCCCTGGTGAGGGAGGGTGATATTTACAGGCTTTACCATTACACGACCTCATGAGGTAAAATGGCAGTGTTCTCTCTCAGGCCAATACAGATTTCCAGGGCAGCCCATTGACCCCGAAAGTCAGGTTAAAGCAGAAGTGCTTATCACTTTGGATTTTATATGCCCTCTCCAGAGCCAGACCAAGTAGACTTAATTTATTCTATGCCTTCCTTCAGATTCCCAAGAGCTCTTCAGGCTCATCAGGGTGACACAAAATCTTAATTCCAGAGTTCCTCCACAGAAAAACCCTGGAAGGAAGAGAAAGTTGGCCTTTTGAAATCAAGAGTAAAGAGAGAACAGGTTTTCTGTGTCGGAAGGGGAAGGCTTCACATAGGAAAACACATGGAGGTTGGTTAGGACAGATATGGGTATGGGAAGGCATTCCAGGGGATAGCAACAGTAAAGAATATTTTCTGAATGCAACTGTGTATCTAGGTTCCCCCCCCCCCTCCTCAGGATATGCCTCATCAGCAGTTAAAAGCAGAAGGGAGGAAGCTTGAGGAGTCCTTGTTCATTCCAGTGGAAGTACTGCCTCAGCCAAGGTGACCTGGTCGGCCTGTGTGACTCACTGCAAGTCTTTCTCTAGCCCAAAACTGTTAGGACTCACAGGACAAAGCCTCCCTGGGATACTTTAACCCTATCCACCAAGCCAGTCCCATGGAGGCCCTGTCTCCTTCTTTTTCCCTGGAAGTGTAGCCACAGCTAGGCTGCCTAAGATGCAAGTGGGATTGTAAGCAGACCCCTTCCCCCAAAGTAACCAAGACTTGGAAGACGAAGAAAAGCATCAGTGAACAATGGATCATGTGCTCCCTTCCTCAGGAATTCCTCCTGTTGCAGTTCAGTCACACTCTGCTTTTCACTTGGCACCTTACCTTTAGTCTTCATCTCCATGCTTACTGGCTACCAGACAACCTGACCCACTTAGCCCAGAAAGGACGGCTAGGGCTAAGGAGACTTCAGTCTCTCTCCTAGACAAAATAATTTTTGTAGGTAATGCTTTAACTTAAAGGATGGCATCTTTGGCCCCATTGCAGGGGGTGTGGTTCTGAAATATCTGTGGAAAGTCCCACACTCCAGAGAGAATGAAGCCCCTTCAGATGAACCGGAGCCTACTTTTATTCCCACTGCTCCCGGGGGAATTGTGTGACCTGCGAAGCTTCCTCCCCACCACTCTCAAACTTGTCCCAGAAGCTGAGACATCTCCCAAACCTCCACCTCCCAATCCATCCTGAGAAGCTGTTAGGTAACCCAGTTATGACTCAGCACCAGACTCATTCCTCTCTCTCCCTACTGGCCAGAGTGAAAGGCAGAACCAAGCACAAGGCTCCTCCCCTATGGATGGCCACATCCTCACCACAAACTGAGTCAGGACCACACCCTGCCTGGATGGAAAATTACCATGAGAAGGAAGAAGGTTAAATTCCAGGAGTTTCCAAGTTCTCAATACAGAAATCATAGCCATCTACTCTCTACCTGGGACTAATTGAGGAAAATAGTTCTTTTCCTGGCCCTCGCCCTAAGTATGTCCAGGTAGAGACGAAGTAAGGCTGCTTGCGCCCAGGACCATGTGAAGTAGGAGGCCACAGTCAACCTACGTGTGCAGTATCTGTAATAACCTTGGCCTCTGTGAAGGAGGATCTCTGGTTCAGACCTGGCTTTCACAAGCCCCACCTCCACGGTAAGCAGCCCTGAGTGGGAGAAAGAGGCAATCCTTCTTCAACTCCTTCTCCAGGCTGTGGGAGGATTCCTCTCCAGAAACTCAGGGCCCCACCCTGCAAGATTCCCTGCAATGAAGGCATTGTTGGAGAAGTGCCATAGGTTTTTAATTAGATTTGCTTTATACCAGATAGGTTTTACAATTTTTCAGATATGTTTGGCTTTCAAACTTCTTAGATTCAGAGTCCTGTTGCTTTTATGTGGAACACTATAAAATGATGTATTTAATGTCATTACAATTTTATTGGCATAAAAAAGACATAATGTGTATGCTACGAAAAAAACAGTGACACCTATGAGACCAGCGCAGGTGTTTGAGTTTTTTCCTGGTAATATACACTATCTGTTCATTACTTCTCATTCTATTATTTGCTAATACTTGCTATAGCAGGTGTCACTGACAAAGGGAAATTATAAGAAATGCTTACAACTGAGAAAAATCCATTCACAATTTCTGAAAATTGAGCAAAAATGTTGTTACACCACTGGAGCAGCCAAGCACCTAGACTGAGTTGTTGAAACACCTGTGGGAGTAGTCTGAGAACCTCGGCGGGAATTGAAACAATGCTTAAGAGCTCAGATTCTGAAGTTGGGCAGTCCTGGTAAAAACCCAGCACTGCCACTGACTTGCTATGAGACCCTAGACACATAATTTAAGATCTCTAAAGAAAACCTATCTTCCATCTTTTTTGGTCAGCATTAAAATGAAAAAATACTTGTAAAGTTTGAAAGGCTATCTAGTCTAGAATTGGAACAAACAGTTCGGAAATCAGGTTATCTGTCAGTCATGAGCTGTGGAATTATGAGCAAATCACTTATCCTGTTTTCTCACCTACAAAATGGGAATAACAGCTCCTAATTCATAGGCTTGTGAGAATTACATAGTCAAATACAGAGTGCTTACAACAATGCCAAGCATATAGTAATCCAAAGTGTTAGCAAATTATTAAAGTGCTTATTAGCATAAAACCTGGATCTACCTAGTATGAAGTAAAAAATGTTAGCTCTCCCTAATACTGTTTAGATGAGCTGCAAGGGTACTCCTAGGAGGCAGGAATTTCAGTGAGTGTGGGCTTCCTGGTGGGGCCATTTATTTAGTGGAAAGGAATTTCTTCTAGACCACAAAGCAGAATGGGACAGAGAGCCTTAGGAAACTTGTAGAGTCAAGAGTGTAACAGTCTTGATTAAGAACAGGTAAGGAAGTTTAAGAAAAGCTCCTATTGGGTGTTATATGGAAGTGATGAATCACTGAATTCTATTCCTGAAATCATTATTACACTATATGTTAACTAACTTGGATTTAAATTTAAAAAAAGAAGGAAAAGAAAGGAAAGGAAAGAAAGAAAGAAAAAGAAAAACGCCCAGGGGATGGGCCTTAAGAGTGGTACTTCATGTTGAGGCAAGTCAGGAACTACAATGCAGGCAGGTACTCGGGCAAAGAAGGTATCTCCAAAGCACAGGGTGAAAGTAATGAGACAATAGGTGGTCTAGGGAAGACTCTGTAAATCAGGAAGCTGTAACAGAATAAAAAACCTATACTTGAAAAGCCAGGCTTGTTTAATGTGTTTTGTATTCTCTGTGCTTATATTCCTGTTTTTCTTCATTAATAGTTCAAAATATTTGATGTCCAACCCATCTCTGAGCTAACTTAGGGTTACAGGCACATGAAGCACCCTGAAAGGCCAGCAGAAGGTTGGCAGTGGGAATTTCAACAGGGAGATGGATTTCACTGAAATAATTAGGTCTCCTAGAAACAGCTCTCTTTCTTCACCTTGCTAACCTTGGAGAATTTGGATTTTGTTGTATTGAGGGAGGCTGCATTTCTCTAGATGTCAAATGAGAGACCAAGCCAACTTCCTGCATCTGTCAGCTATTTTCCCCCACCACCCTTACCCTAGAGAAATAGCTGAGAGGAGGAAGAGAATAGGGGCCCAACCCCTGAGACAGAGAGCAAGGGGCAGTGGCTAAGTTGTGTGCAAAAAGCAGAGGTCCTGGGGCTCCTGGGTGGCTCAGTTGGTTAAGTGTCTGACTTCGGCTCAGGTCATGGTCTTGCAGTTTGTGAGTTCGAGCCCCACGTCCAGCTCTGTGCTGATAGCTCAGAGCCTGGAGCCTGCTTCAGATTCTGTGTCCCTCTCTCTCTGCCCCTCCCCCACTCGTGCTCTCTCTCTCTCTCTCTCTCTCTCTCTCTCTCTCTCTCTCTCAAAAATAAATAAACATTAAAAAAAAAAAAGAGGTCCTAAGGGTAGGAAATCTGAGCTGCTTTGGCCTCAGCGGTACTTTTAAATCTTGAGGAACAGGCATCAGTGGTATTCTATATCCTTCTGAGTTTGCATCATCTGCGTAACTGATAACTGCCTAACTTCTTTATCCAGTTCATTGACAAAAATGTTGCCAGATCCGTGGTACATACACTACACTAGATGACTCAGCTTTTACTCCACCCAACATAATTAGTTCCAACCCTCAGGATATTCCACTCTCCCCACCTGACACCCCACTTGAGGGCTTGGGGCAGGTGCTGGGCCAAGGCTAGTCAGACCACAGTGATCATATCCAGTCCACAGCACCTTCCATTTTATTGTTTTATTTACAAACAGGGTGAAGTCAACTGGGAAAATCAGGAGTAGGGAGTCAGTCTGGGCCATCCAAATGTGGAGTGGTTCCTGGGTCAGTCTCCACCATGAAGGCCGCCTCTTCTATGCTTTTCCTGCCCCTTGGTAATGGCCCCTTGATTCCTCAGGGCAGCCTCACATGCTGCTCCTGAGCCCTTGTATGAGGGCAGATGGATCCTGGGGGAACAGGGGTGGTACGAGGGCTGGGGCCCCCTCAGTTTGTGTAAACCTGAGTTCCGATCACACGCATGATTTCCTTCTGTATCTTGGGGTCCTGAGTATTAATGTTGGCATCGCCCACCTGACCATCCTCATATCTGCCAAAGATAGGGCAAGTGTGAGCATAAGAGGGAGAAGAATACCAGAATAACGTCAACCAGTGAACTATATGTGAGGTGTGGCCATTCCAACCCAAAAGTCAAAACCCTTTCTTGCTACTCTTTAGGGTAGAAGAGATTCAGCTTATCTGATTTCCTCTAAACAGATCTATACCCATCCCCATCCTCCACAGGGAAAGTTCCAGTGCCAGCTCCACTCAGGTAGCCAGGGATAAGTCTCAGATGACAGGAACAGACTTTCCCAGTAATCATACCATTACACCCCCACCCTTATTCCTCAGAGTAATCCCCAAGGTCCCTCCTAGACTTACACAAAGAAGAACCGTGTGCAGACATGGTCAGACACAGGGCACACCCAGATGTTCCCATGCTTCTGGAGGTCCTTAGATGTAATCACTGGGAAGAAGGGGGCCAGAAATTATAATGCTTAAGTCACACAGTCCAGGCAGGGGAGGGAAGACAATGTGTCAACAACACCCTCAGCTGGATCACGTGCCAGAGCTGTACCAGAAATAAAGGTTGGGGACACAGAAATACAGGGACTGGGTGAGCCACCTACCTTCACAAAGTGCTATACAGTTTAGATTCCGACTCTGCAGGAACCTTGACTGAATGGATCGGGTCTGGAAGAGAAGGATAGCAGAGCCAGGTGGACTGTTATAGCTTCCCTAGGCAGGAGGTTAGCTGCTGGTGGCTAGGGGTATGGATTAGGATATCTGGGTCTCCCAGCCACCACCACCCCCAAATTTTGCTTTTGCATAATTAGTCTGGCTGAGTCCATAGCTTCGATCTTTACATTTTCATGTCACTGCATTTAAACTCAGTCTCTGCTTTCACACTTATGACTGAGGCCACATAGGACTCTGGAAGCATGTTCATCTTCAAACATATCTGATTCCTTCAAATGATCTTCAAACTACTCACTTCCCTCACCATTTGTTCCCCATCCATCTCTGTAGCCTAAACTTATCCTAGGGGAAGGATTCTGCCTGCCTCACTGGAGTGCCAACTAATAATACCTGGGGGATGGTATTCATCCTGTTATATCTCTGGACCAGCTCATCCTTGGAGGGCATCCTGTGCTGTCCTTTTCCCATTCCTGTTACAGAACAACAAATCCAGTTCAGTCACCCACTCCTCAATCACATAGTTACTAAAATGTCTACTATGTGCCAGGCACTGAGCTAGACATGTAGTAAATAAATAAACAAGGTATCTGCCCTGACACAATTTAGTCTGGTGGATACTACAGGCAAAGAACAAGTAATTACAACACAGTATGGCAAGAAGTGTGATGGGGAGAATCTAGAACGATGTGTGAGCTAGAGGAGGGGAACTAGCCTGCCCTAGGGTTTTGAAGAAGGCTTCCCAGTGACAGCCGGGAAAAATTACTTAAATGAAGAGGGGGAAAGTGTTCTGGCAGAGGTAAAAGGACATAGAAGGTCTGGAGGAAAGAAAGCAATGTGCCTTTGTTTGTATGGAGCATAGTCAATGGAAGGAGAGCGGCAACAGATGATATGGAAGCAGTGAGTCAGGATCAGATCAAGCAGGCCTTATAGGCCATGTTAAGACAACTGAAGTTTATCCTGAGAATATCAAAGAATCACTAGAAGGTTCTAAGACAGGGGAGGAACACATGAAATGAGACAGGAATGAGGGGCTCACGAGAGTGGTGATATCAACCCCTTGGATCAAATGCCAGATTGAGCAAAATGAGTGAAGAGGAAGCAAGCAGAGCAAGTCAGATCTGTTCCAGTCTCAAAGTTACGTAGAAAACCATGAGCAGAGTCACTCAAAAGAAAAGACAGAAAGCACAGAAGGTAAGTGATGAATAATTTTCCACAAGTAACCACAATGGCAACAACCTTGAAGAATCCTGCTTCCTTTAGAAAGTCTTCCCAGACTTGAGGAAGTGGTGCCAATTCCCTCCAGTGTCCCCCTGTCTAAATCCATAAATCCTCTGCCATCCTTATCCCGCAGTGAATAGCCCTATTTATAACATTTATAGACCCATTCTGGATTTTTCTTATTTAGACATGGAACAGTGCTTATGTGCCCCTACTCCCAACTGTTTTTGGCCTGTGACTAGACTTTAGTCTTGACTCAGCTTTCTCACAGGCCTACCTTTATCACAGTCGTGTGTGTGTCTATGTGTCCATCCCTGTCTGTCTGAGAGGACATGGATGAAGATGGGAAATGATGCTATCCTTACAGGCCATAAGCAGGGCCCCTATCTCACCACTCTACCTTGGAACATTCTATTACAAATCCCACTCTCCTTCAGTTCTTGGTTTTGTGATAGCCATGGTGCAGGAGTGGGGATGCCTGGACTGACATTCCTCACTGCTCAGGCTGTCAATTCATCATGCACTCACACTAAAGTCCCACGACAGATATATGGCCTGAACAAAACTCAAGGCAAGACTTAAACTCTTAATTTCTTCCTCCTACAGGTGTGACACTTACCACCCCTTGATTTCTACTTTCCCCATTAGCCTTAAGTAAGTTTAGCTCTGAATCCAAACATGACGTTCTCATCCTGGGTATTTCAGTGCAAGATTCGGAGTGATCCCAAAGGATAAGAAAGAACAAGTTCTATCCCAAAGGATAAGAAAGAACAATCTGATTTCTATGGCTGGTCTTTCAAATGGCCCTTATGATGCAATCCAAATCTTGTCCCATCTCAATCCTGTTGCACACTGTCCTGTTCATATTGACCCAATGATCTTCTACAGTTTACCAAGACCAGAAACTGAGAAAGTGGTGGCTACAGTAATCCCTGGATGCTTTGTATCCAGAGTATACACCTATCAGAAGTCTCTAAACAGAACTAAACACACAGATGGAGTTTACTAACTCCTTTCTCCCTGGCCCTTGTTTTAACCCACACACGATGGCCAAGTCATTGGAGTGGAGGCTCCATTAGCCAAATGGATGCTCTCTATTTATACCAGCTCCCAGATAGCATGCAGTGCCACAAAACTAAGGATACCCTGAGGGAGAACGAGAAAACTAGAGCAGAATAGGGTATGTGGAAACATATAAGAAGATGGAATTGGTTAAATACTAGAGTAATTACAATAAACTGGCCATCTGTACACATCTCACATTATAGAGATTCTCACATATCTGTGGGCCCTCAGAGACTCATTCAAGCAAAGCCTACCCTGTCAGTCCAATATAGTAATAAGAACACTGGCCCAGAAGTTAGGAGGCCTAGATTCCAATCCTAGGTCTGCTACTCACAGCTGTGTGTAACTTCTCTGTGTATGAGCTTTCCTAACTATAAAGTAAGAAAGGATTGGATGAGATGATCTATAACTCTAAAAGTAAAATCCGATGCCATTTTATAATCAGTGGACCTTTGCAAGAGGAAAAGGATGGTGTCCTATGATGTTTTTCTGTGACTGAAGTGATGAAGAAATATAAAGAGTCAATAGAGATTCCTGGCTCCATAGGTATTCAGGCACTCAGTAGTAAACAAAAGCCAGTGACAGAGAAGAGAGGGAGAGAACAGGATGAGAACAGACAGGAAGCAAGAATTTTGTGGGCACCAAGAACACCAAGGCACCAGGAGAATCTCACTACTTGGAAAATAACGAGAGCTTAATGAGGGAAGCTCAGGCGGGAACAAAGATAAAAACTGAGGAACCCAGACAAAAAAGCCAAAAAGACTACCCTAACCCCAACCCCACTTTGCACCCCAGGCACACAGAATAAGATTCATTCACACATTCAATCGGTATTTATTGGGCACTTACCCTGGGTGGATTACTCATTAGGTTTGGTTCATGACACACTTTAATTTATTATTTATTTATTTATTTATTTATTTATTTATTTATTTATTTATTATCTACTATACCTATAGACCCAACCTACAGACTAAATCCAAGAACCAAAACATTACTAGTGATTTATATCAATGTGCTCCTACCCTATCCCAACTATCTATCTGCTTATCCTCAGGAGGTAACCGCTATCCTGAAATTTCTTTAGTTTTATCATACATACATAACACACATGCACCAAAAGGTTTATATTTGTTTGCTTTTAAACAATATAAAAAAGACATTACACACTAGTCTTCTGGGCTTGCCTTTTTTTTTCTTTAGCTCAGCTCATTACCAAGGTTTTTCCATGTAGTTAAGTACTACTGTTTATCCATTTTCATTGCTAAATAATAATCTACTTTGAGAATATATGAAAATGCATTTATCCATCCTCCTGGTAGTGAGCATTTGGGTTGTTTCCAAGATTTGCTACTGCAAACACTGCTGCTTTGAACATTCAAGTACACCTCTGGGCATGCAGGAATGAAAATGCTGGGTCACTGGGATAAATTTTCTCAGCTTTATGAAATTAAACACCAAATTGTTCTCCAAAGTGGTTGTACCAATTTATATTCCAATAAACAATAAAAGAGATCCTGCTAATCAACTTCTAGGACCATCAGAGGTATTACCAGATTTCTTAATTTTTGCCAGTCCACATAGGTGGCAAACAGTAGTCATTTTGGTCTTCATTTTACTTCCTTAATAGCAGTTCAGCAACTTGTCATATTTTTTGGTCATTTCTTCAGTGAAATGTCTGTTCATGTCATTTGCCTATTTTTCTACTGGGTTGTCTTTTTCTTACTGATTTTTAAGCATTTTAAAATACATTTTTGGGTTACCTGGGTGGCTCAGTTAAGCGTTCAACTCCTGGTTTCTGCTCAGGTCATGATCTCACTGTTGGTGAGGTCAAGCCCCATGTTGGGCTCTGTGCTGGCAGTGTGGAGCCTGCCTGAGATTCTCTCTCTCCCTCTCTCTCTCTGCCCCCTCTCCTGTTTGCTTTCTCTCTCAAAATAAATAAATAAACTTAAAAAAATATCTTTGTTACTAAGCTTTTGTGGTTAAATATGTTACAAATGTCTTCTGGTTTGTAGCTTTTCACTTTCTTAAGGTGTCTTCTGGTAAACAGAAGTTTTTAGTTTTAATAAAGTTAAATTTACTTACCTTTTATGATTTATAATTCTACACTCTTTTCATTCTATCGGAAGTTTTATATAAAACTAATAATTTGTTTGGTTTGGTTAAAGCCTGGTTTAAGATTCACTTATAAAACTATCTGGGTTTGGTGAGTTTTTTGATTTAGTTGCTGCTGTTAGAGTAGTTTAAAATTTAAAGACTTTTCTAGTTCTATGATTCTGGATCTAAGTTTTCTTATCTTTATAATAATTATAATTACCAGGTAATACTAAATAATAATCTATAAAGAATATAGCACTGTAGGGGCGTCTGGGTGGCTCAGTCGGCTGAGCGTCTCACTTCGGCTCAGGTCATGATCTCATCGCTTGTGAGTTCGAGCCCTGCGTTGGGCTCTGTGCTGACAGCTCAGAGCCTGGAACCTGCTTCAGATTCTGTTGTCTCCCTCTCTCTCTGCTCCTTCCCCATTCGTACTCTGTCTCTGTCCCTCAAAAATGAATAAACGTTAAAAAAAAATTTTAAAGAACACAGCACTGTCTCCTTCATATGGTAGACATGCAATATATGGTGGTTACCTTTTATATAGAGACTGTGTAGAACAAGAACAAACGAAAACTAAAAAGGAACTAAGACATGAACCTGTAACACTGAGAGAGCTCCAAGGCAGATTCATTTTCTGAATAGAACAAACCTGGACTCATCTCCTGATTAGAAAATGGACCTTACCCATGCCTTATCTTTGGAATAAAATGCTTTCTCTTCCATTCTTATAATAGTATGTAATTATACACAGTTTAAATTTTAAAAGGTAGTTGACAGGGAGAACAATGTCTCCAGAAATGTAAGCCGATGGAAGATACTCAAGCATTCAAGTGTATTCACATATAAACTCACATGCACACGTGTACATATACCATCTATAAACAACAGGCTATTGCCCACACCAAAAATGTGGTCTATGAAAAGCCTCGTTTCAATCTCCCAGTTATTTCCTAACTTATTCTCAGAGCCAAGCCTCTACAATGAATAAAACCATCCCTACGGAGAAGAGGACTTCCTAACAGAAAGGGAGATAATTGGCCTCACGGTGTAAAGACTCTACATCACTAATGAGAGGAGGTAAAGAAACCATGTATCTATGACTGGGAGAGAGCTGACACAGACCAAGTACCCATGATGGAGCAGGAGGAGACAGCATAGATTACGTATTCACAAAATGGATGCGATGTAAATAGAGCCGAGGTGGCCAGACAGTATTTCTTACCTGAGTATCCAAAGGAAATACTGGAGATGGGGCTCAGGTAGATGCCTTTGCCATAGGCTGCTCCATGCAGCTTGCAGGGAAACACCAGGATGAGCAATATGAGCCTGGGCCCTCCCATGGCTGTATGTTAGGCAGCCACAAGGCTTATCCAGCCCTCTGTCCCTCCAATTACCTTCTCACTGGTTCAGATTACTCTAGGAATTTACTCTTGAAAATCTGATTGGCTGAAAAGTGGATGCAGGTTAACCTCTTTGTCCTACTAGATACTGATGTCTTGGAATGTAAGGAGTGGCAAAGCCACTAGTCAGTCCCTCAGAATCCATACTCCATTCCCCAGGCTTTGGTACATATGCAGATTCCAAAAATGAACTATAGAACAGGTACCCAAGAGGAGAAACAATAATCACTCCTTGGATTCCCATAGGGAGAAGAAATAAGTCTTTTATATCACTTTTCTGAATGAACAGTCACATAAATTAAAAACCTTTGTCTAACAGGTTAATGCATCACAGTGGCTGTAGTCAGCATTTCATATTCCTGCCTATTGATATAATCCTATTCCCAAAACTACCAAAAAACACAGCCTGGGGTCAAATATATATCAGCCATATTCATTCTATGCAAACAATTCCAACCTCTTTCCTTGGAAAGCCACACGGCAGGCTAGATTTGAGGATGCTGAGGCAAAAATCAGTTCAGTACTCTAGAGCAGGCTTCCCCAAAACTGAGTGGGGCAGGGAGGGGAGTGGAGAGAAAGGGAAAGGCTCACAGCCTCACCTGCAGTTTGGTGTAGGATGCATTGACCAGCCCATTGCGCAGGATCGAATGCCAGTTTTCAATGTGGGACCCACTGTAAGGCAGGGTATAAAAAACATGTCTCTTCATTGTATGAGGTTCCCAGAAGCACTTTCAAGACCGCCACGCCCACCCACTCTCACCCACACAGGACATGATAACGGACTGGGATACAGCTAGCAACAGACACACACATGGATACAGTCACAGGCATGCAATATACGTGTGTATGGCTAACTCTCCATTGTAACTTCCAGTCCCATTCTTTTTCCTGTGCTTCAGCTGGTCCCATCCTAAATCCTCAACTGCTGGTTCAGTATTTTCATTTGCCTATTCCCCTGATATTTCAAGTTAAGCAGATTCATTTCAAACTCAACCAACAGAGCACTGATCCCAATATGGTTGCCAGTTCTAACTTCACATCTATTTTAAGAAAAAGGTACCACCACTCCCTTCTTAATATCTCTCTCACTTTCTCTCTCTCTTCTTCCTCAATTAAGCATAAATTGCTGATTTCCTTCAAAATAGCTTTCAAATCTATCTCCTCCAATCTGTTCCCTCAACCACATCTTTTTATGTGTAAATGTCATTTCTCCTCAACTACAACATAAGTATCTTGAGAGTAAAGACCATATCCTATGTATCTTTTTACACTCTACAGCGCCTACCACAACAGCATTAAGAAATATCTGACTGGTTGGACATATGTCACACACACTCATATACCTCAAGTGAAGTTGCCCTCCCACCCCCCTACATTATTTGTTGTCATTCCCCCACGCCCCACCCACCCCCAACCCCCCCTTCTCACTGGAAGGCAAAGGTGCTGCCGTAGAGCTTCTTGGCGGTCCGGAACCGAGCCTCCTTGGCAGGAGGGCTGCTCAGCAGGAGGAACTGGTGTGAGGTGTGCATGAACTTCAGCTGCTGCCCAGGTTGGGGGTCGGGTCAGGAAAACAGAGAAGAAATGGAGATCAGGGAGGGAAGGGGTGGGGATGGGGAGCAAATCAGGCTTGCACTGACCCCAAATAAGGAGAATATGCTTAGGTCCAAAGACAACCGTTGATGGATAGAGCCAATGAGGCAAGTCTAGGATCAATGTGGTTAGCTGGTCTGGAGCCCCTCCCTGTCCCTCACCAGAAATTTAAAGAATTTAGAAGAAGAATGGTCACTTACCCTGCTGAGAGGTAGTTTGACAATGTGTGACCTGTTGCTAGAAATGATCCTAGCATAAAACAGAGAAGAAAGGAATGGACAGAATGAGTGTGTCATTAGACCATCCAGAACAAAGAAGCAGTCTTACTGTACCCCTGGGAGAACAAGCAAGGATTCCAGGGCTGTTGGAATTGTGTCAAATGTCCAGATCACTATCTAGATATTCCTGTTGGTGGTAACGCTTGTGTATAAAAGTGTAAAAGGGAAACTACTGACCAGAGTTACTGGGTAAACAATGAATAAAAGAAAAGAGATGGGTGAAAGGGAGACTGCTATGTCTAGGAACAGAAAAGGATAAAACAAAAGTGGGTGCCTAGGTGGCTCAGTCAGTTGAGCGTCTGACTTCAGCTCAGGCCATGATCTCATGGTCTGTGGATTTGAGTCCCACATCAGGCCCGCTACTATCAGTGCAGAGCCCACTTTGGATCTTCTGTCCCCCCTCCTCTCTCTGCCCCTCCCCTGTTCATGCTCTCACTCTCAAAAATAAATAAACATTAAGAAAAAAAAGGAAGAGCACGTAAGATCAGCTACAATAAATAAATAAGTAAGTAAGTAAATAAGAAAGCAGGGATCTGTATTAGCATGGTGATAACTTATACTTGGGATTTAGAAACACACAACTGGGACTCAGAGGAATCTTTCAGGGCTCTCAAGGATGGGGAGGGACGGAGAGAAAGTTACTGTTTGGGCTGGAGAAAGAAACAGATGAAACTACAACAACCTTCCCTAGGATTCAAGGATAGACTGGGCTGTGTTTTGGCTGAACTCAGAGGATAGGAGAGAACAAAGGCGTAAAGCATTGAGAGCTCAACATGGGAGCATTATCTCATATAGTGGATACAGTTTTGTTTTGTTGTTGTTGTTTTTTGTGCTTCACCCATTTACTTGTGATGCCATCCTGGATACTCTATGCCTGGTCATTCCTGATGCTAAGAGGGAGCATGTTGTATTGAAAAAGTACTGATGTCAATGGCTGACTAGGAAAAGAAGGGAAAGCTATGTCAGGAAAACAACAGCAATCAAGATCGGGGAAGGAGGGCAGAGGGTGGAGGGCAGTAGAGAATGTTCAGAATCTTTGTTTGAAGGGAATAATAATAGTGCCTCAAGGCTCTGGACAGTGTACATCAACAGGGTAGGCCTTGAGACAGGGATAGGGAGCAGAAGGGGGAGACAAACCTCTCTGTATGCACAGAAAACTTAGTTGAAACAGTATTAACTCCTACATGCAAAGGGTACTTAAAAACCTATTGGGAAACAAGAAACACCTAGAGAGAATCTGAGACATTGTGTCTGAATTTGTGAGCTCCCACTAAGCTCTGAGTTCTTATCAAGGCAAAGTATATCAATAAAACCCCAAGAAAAAACAGCCAGAATCTCTATAACCTCAGGAAGGATGCTGGAACCGGCTCTAAAAGAAGTTGTAGGTTCCATGACTAATTCCATATCCCCCAGCATCCCCACCCCCAATCCCTGAAGGACAAACCATTCTATTCACATTACTTACCACTGCAAGAGAGGATGGGCCAAGGGATCCAGCTTGTCCATCTGCTTCTTGATTTCTAGATATGAGCCCTGTTAAGACAAAGGTCATAAAGTTACCTCCCAGGAGAGGTGAGAGCCCTCCCACTTTTGACAGACTAATCAGGGCCCAGGGCAAGGCAGGCACTGAAAGCCACACAAAGGCAAGAGGAGATAGGGTTCCCACCCTTAAGGAGCCCAGTCAGATTGGGAAGACTCATAAATAAATATGAAAATGACTGAAAATGCTTACAAAACAACATGCAGGTGGGTCTCCCTCATTTTACGCAATTCCTACAACTCTAAAAAGTTGACTTTAAATAAAAAATAAATAAAATCAATGTCCCAGAAAGATTAGGCTAAGGAATCCTGTGGTAAAACTTTACATAAAGCAAAGAGTCCTTCTGACAGTAAATCATCCCTCCTAGGTATATCTTATGTGTTAATCTGAACTGTGATATATAGGATTTGCTGAGAAGAGGCCCACCTGTAAATGTGAGTACAAATGAATGTCTATTCATGCAGAGATTGCAGACGAGGGGTGGGGAAGTCTGGTGAGGGGCAGCCTTGAGTCAAAGGATGGTCACTGCTCCATGTTGCTGCCCCACCCCTAGAAGGACAGAAGATGTAGGCCCCTGGGGCTAGTTCCTTACATCCAAGCCCCCTCCTCGCCCTCCCAACCCTGGGCAGAAGTCTTTCCCTCACTTCTCTAATTCCCTAAGAATTATGGGAAAAACATTAAATATGAACAACTTGTGAAGGAATTGGCAGCAAAGGTAAAAGTTGAGAGAGACATCCGGAGTGAAAAAGAGAGTAACAGAGAACAAGGATTGGGAAGGCTGAAGAGGGAAGACTAAAGAAAACTCAGTGAGGAATCTGAATAGCATTTCTAAATCTCCATTCCACTCCTATGGATTCCAAGCACAACAGGGCACTTAAGCAGGACAGGCAGAGGGCAGAATACCTGGGTCATCTCCCGGATGGACATCACACTATCCAGAGCTTTTTGAAGTCGCTCATAATTCTTCTTCTGTGGGGAATCAATGGGAAGAGAAGACCCAGATGAAGAAAAGTGGAGGAGAGTAAGATGTGATGAAAAGGAGGGCCAGATGTACAAAAGAGGTCTAGGCCCGAGGGAAACAGTATGGCATGTCATGGAAAGAACACAGATTTAATGTCAGACAGTTCTGGAATCACATGCTAGTTCTCTTTTACAGCTAGAAGTAATAAAGTAAGTTACTTAACCTCTTAGAACCTCAGTACCCTGTGTGTAAATGAAGATTAAAATTCCCACTACACTCAGAGATCATTCTGAGGACTAAATAACATACGTAAAGAACTAATATAGTGCCTGATACATAGCAATAAGAGTCATAGTGAGGCACTCTGCTAGGTACTTGTGATGGTTAATTTTGTCAATGGTTAATTGAGTTGATCTGATGGGTCATGGAGTGCCTGAACATTTTGTCAAATATTACTCTTGGTGTGTCTGTGAGGGTGTTTCTACATGAGATTGACTTTTCTATCAGAATGAGTAAAGCAGATTGTGCTCCCCTCATTTGGGTGGGCCTCACTCAATCAACTGAAGGTCTGAAGAGAACGAAAAGGCCAAGTAAGAGGGATCTCCCTCTGCCTGACTGCTGGAGCTAGGGCACTGGTCTTTTCCGAACACTGGACTGGAACTGAGAAACCGGCTTTTGGGGGATCTCAAGACTGTCAGCTTTTGGATTGGAATTTATACCACTGGCTCTCCTGGGCCTCCAGTTTGCTAAATGCAGATCCTTGGGCTTCTCAGCCTTCATAACTACATGAACCACTTCTGTATGCTAAATCTTTTTCCATAGATATCTCCTACTGGTTCTGTTTCTCCGGAGAACCCTAGTACAATACTTTACATATGTTATTTCTCATTTTTATAACAATCTGCAAGGTAGATATTATCCCCTTTTAACAGATAAGGAAATTGTGGTACCAAAAGGTTAAGTGACTTTTCTTACACCATTCAGCTAGGGAACAGTAGAACCTCAAATGGAATCCAGGTCTGTCAGGCTCCAAAATCTATATTCTTCCCTAGTATAACATAATAATTCTTCTCCCCTCCTTCTAACAAACTCAGTTACTTGTTCACTAAAACAGCCACAGCTTAGGGTTTAAGAGTTCCCAAGAACCAAGTGTTCCATCCCTTCTGTCCCTCCTTCCAAGCTGTTATATACATGAGAATGGCAGCCCATAGTCTCCCACTCTCTTTTATTGTTTCTATTCCTTTTCTATTTCTATTCTATTACTTTCTTCCCAAGCAACAATACCTTGGGGTTAAAGGCCAGAGTCTTGGGATCAGTGGGGTCCACCACAGAGGGATAAGGCTCAAAGATGATGCTCTTTCTAGGGGACTCCAAAGCTGCCCTACACATGGCCACCAGCAGATCCACCACCTTAGGCGAAAGGAGAGAAAGGAGGCAGAAGCTAAAGGGTTTCCCAGTGCTGGGAGTCACATGGTATCCAGCATAGGTCTGTCCACCTGTTGGAGGCTCTCAGCATTCTCTCTGCTGTTCTTTTTAATAGCAAACACGTTTATGTTTTTTTCATTTGAAAATACAGGCGGTTCATAAAAATTCAAGTAACGATGATTTAAAAAATGACTAAGAAAAAGATAAAAATCATCCCATTGCCCCCAGACAAATCTCATTCCTCACAGGTACTACTGCTAAGTCTGAGGTCTACCCTTGCAGATAATTTTTCCTATGGAAATAGTTATCTTATTAAATAGGCAATTAAAAAAAAGAACTATACTGCGCATACTGTTGTCTTTTCTTTTTTATATATGTTATAATTTTCTACCCATAAATAATAGCTGTATGGTATTTCCACTGTAAGGACATACCATGATTTCTTTAACTGAATCCCCATAGATGGAATCATATCGATTCTTTTTTCGCTATTACAAACAACAGTATTGTGCACACCCTTACATATGAAAGCATTTCTGGAGGTTAAACTGCCAAGGAGTGACATTGCTAGGTTCCCTCGCCTTTCTTGATGCCAGCTCCCCAGCAGCTTTTCCCTCTCCCATACCTCTGCTCCAGTAGCAACCTCCTCTGCAGCTCCGGACATGACTCCCAATGTGTAGAAGGAGAAAACACACAGCTCACGAGTACAGACGGCTGGCTGAACAGACATATTAAACAGAGAACAGTGGCACAGGGTGTGCAATAAGAAGGTGTCATAGGGAGACAAGGACAAATCTGACCTTAGACAACTCTAGAACCAGGTAGGAATTTGGGGCCCTCTACGTCATGAAAAAACTATAAATTAGTCTTAATTAAAAAGCCTTACTTGTAAGATTCATAGTTAATGCTGTCTCCTCTCTGAGGCCTTCCATGACTTCCCTAGGTAGTTAGATGCTCTCTCTTGTGAGTTTCCACAGCACTGCTCATATCTCTTCTACACACTGACAGTGCAGTGTCTGTCCACCCACCTAGACTTGGGAGTCCTTGAGGACAGCTTCATATGCAATCATCTTGACCAATATCTCAATATCTGATCCCTATTTTTAAATGTTGGGTGGGGATTATATCTGCAATAATATTCATACATCCTTGGGGTTCCTGAGTGGCTCAGTTGGTTGAGCGTCTTACTCATCATTGATTTCAGCTCAGGTCATGATCTTGCAGTTCACGGGATTGAACCCCACATCAGCCTTGCACTGATAGCACAGAGACTTCTTGGGATTCTCCCTCCCTCTCTCTCTCTGCACCTCCCCTGCTCTCTTTTTCTCTCAAAATAAATAAATAAATAAATATTTTTTAAAAAGGACCACTGGGGAAGTGATAATAAATATTAAAAAAAAATTTATATAGCCTCATATTTCAAAACAGGACTGCAGAGATTTGTTTTCTGAGGCAAAATAATTACTTCTAGAGTCTCAAGAATTACGGACAAAATTCTACCTTTACCATAGACCCAGGAAGAAAGGAATAAAAGAAAGATGAGGATTGAAAGCCTTGACTAAGGGTCTAAGGAAGAGGGTCACAGATTAGGACACATACCTTGAGCATGGACCCATTCTGGAAGACATGCTGCTCATCACACACCACGCAGTACTCATTCAACGTTGGAATCCTCTGCTCTGCATACTTCATGATCTGGGAAGAGAAGACATTGTTACTAAGTCTTTTTGAAAGTGCAGACACAGATATGGGAAGCAATTTGAGCTTCTTTTCCAACCATTCTCTCCTCTCCCAGCCCTGTGCGTAAGGCAGACCTATTCTTGGGCCCTGCACTTAGTTTAACTGAGGGCCTAAATCTAGAGCTACAGCTATATATTATAGTAAAAATAAGACCAACCATGGTAGAAGACCTGAGTTAAGATCCTGTCCCCTCCCCCCCC